TATTATTATTATTATTATTATTATTATTATTATTATTATTATTATTATTACTCAATATCATTTTTGAAGTTTTAGTAACAGTAATAAACTTGAACTTGACATCACATTTTGAAATCCCATTTTTTACATAAATTGCTTCCAATTTCTCAAGTATATTGCCTTGATATTATCTAATCCCTTTGATTTAGATTCTACTCTGCAGCTCAATCCCATATCTCTATAATTAAGCCATCATAGATGAGCTCCTAATGAATTAATCATAAGATGATCTAGGATCTCATGCATAATGTGAAGTCTACTTACTAATAAAAACAGAAAATGCTGAAAATACCTTGCAGATCTGTGAAGAGAAAAAAAAGAGTTTTAGGTATGTGACACTTTTTCAGATCAGATCTGATAAAAGGCCAAATAATTCTGATGTGTTAGTTCTCTTTCTCCGTTGTCGGATGCTGCCATACCTGCTGAGTATTTCCAACATTCTGTTTTTATTTCAGACATTCAGCATCTCTGGATTTTTGCTTTTGTTTTTTAAACATATGGTTGGCAATCTTATCACATTTCTTTTGTTGTTTTGTTAATTTGCTGCCAATTTAACCATTTGGAGCTAATGTTTCTTTTAAATTTTTTTAGCCTTTTATTGGCTGCAAACAATCGTACTGAAGTAAAGAGTAAATATCCATGCTGGCTCTTATTGAGCAAGTTAAAACTGTACGATCATTACTATTTCCCCATCTATTAGACGTACAACCTAATCCTGGAAAACCAGCAATAAATATATTCTCCCAATTGTGGTTTTCCTTTGGTATTTTACAATGAAAGAACTAAATACCTCAAATGACTGTAATTTTTCCTCTTCCAGCCACATTTGGTTTATTACAGTATCCAATATGTTGCATGTCTGGTGACTGTCATAATAGTAAAGGGGAATTTTGATAATAGATGGGTTAACTGTGGGGAAAACATATCAATTAGTACAACATCAGGGGTCTGGCAACTGAAGAGAAACAGGTATCTTAATAGAATCTGATAAACTAATGACAGGAATAATATTGCGGTGACTTACTTAATATTATGGATGCTTCAGAAAGTAATACTTGCTCAAAATTTTCCCCAGTAAAATAAATCAAATCTGTCACTTACTCACTTCTTTTTGATTTGTGAGTTAGGAGGTTAACATGAACATTGATGCTTAAATTAGCCAAGCATGAACAACTGAAAGATTCCACCTGCCAGCTCTGTTTATTTGTTTGCAGCTAACTGGACATACTTTGACCATATGCCTTCTTCTTTATCATGGGTAGCAATAGCAGTTCCATTAGGTTCCCAACATTATGAAAAACATAAATTTAGTTTGTTTCTTTTTTTCTCTGTCAGCTATCGAAGTGGGATTCGTGGGCACATGAAATCAATTGTCCTTGACCTGCTGAGGCGGTATCTGAGTGTGGAAACACAGTTTCAGCAAGGTAAAATAAAAGTTAGTTTTTAAAATAAAACCAAGAGCTGACTCTCCACCCCTTTTGGCTTCAGGATCTTGGGTGGGTACGTGGCAAATTTACGGTGCTTTTCTACCTCCTAATATTTTCTTAACACCTGAATGAATCCATGCATCACTTGACAAATGTCCCATAGAAACTTCACACAGATGCTTGTTCTAAGCCCAGTTTATAATAATGGTTATTTATATTCTCTTTACTGTGTGTTTCCAGCATTCTCTATTTATGTTGCATTTTCTCCAAACTTTTTAAAGTACTCAAATTGAAATGTTTGAGAGTTTAGGTGCTACCTCTTTCAAAACTCCTTTCCAATAATGTGTCATTCTCAGGCACAAGGAGCTGAGCTGGCAGTGTTCTGATCATGTTTCTTTGAAGGTCGACATTTGGAATTTATTAAGAACACACTAGAGTGAGTTTAGCTTTCATCTCTCTTTGTTACTACCTGTTCTCTGTGCTTTCATCTTATTAACTTCTTCAAATTTAACAGCCCAATCAAGTGTGAACAATCTGGTAGTAACTTGCATTTTACTAATCCACAGATAAACTAATTAGTAAAGCACCACACTGTATTGTAAAGTATTCATAAAACCATAAATAGAAATGTCTTTTAAAGCATTAAGACAATGCCTTAGACATTTTAGGAAAGAAAGGTGGATGTGGTGGGAAATGCCTGTGCTCCATGTCTCACTCCAAACATTTGGAATTATTTTAACAAAGTCGATTATAATTTTAAAAGAGTGATCAGGAGAAAAACTAAGAATTAACAAGTTCCCCATTCCCAACTATTGTTCTCAAGTATTTAACTTGGTTTTGTTTTTCTAGACAGTAATCTAGAGTTTTCAAAAACTTCATTTTCCAGCTCATTATGACAAATGTGTGATCAACTTGAGAGAACAGTACAAACCTGATATGACACCAGTACTTGACTGCATCTTCTCTCATGCACAGGTGGCCAAGAAAAACATCCTGGTTATCATGTTAATTGTGAGTATAATAAATGTGCTGAACTTGAGTAGATGTTTATCTATTTACTTAGTCCAGTTTCTAAGTTCTTTCACCAAGAGACACTGATGTCCCCTGCAGTGAAATCTATCCAGTAAGTGTATACCAATATTTTCAATTCAACATCCAATAAAATTTTTTATCCAAATCTTGAAAATCAACGGAAAAGTTGCACATTTTTAATAATTATTGCCAATGACGAGATCATTATAATTTCCTTGTAATTTACTCCCATGGATGCTCATTATGTAGTGGTACCTCCCTCTAAGCTCAGCCTGCCCTCACCAGACATGTAGATTTGCACATTTCCAGGTAGACGTTATTGTGCAGCAATCAGGAAAGAGGAACCTCGCTTCCCCAGGGAATTACTGATAATTTACTGTGCCTGTTAAGAGTTTCTGGATCAGATCAGAGCACAGTTCAACTTGAGTTCTTATTAGCGTCCATGGCTCATTGATGGTCTTTTGGTCATAGAGTTATAGAGTCATACAGCAGGAAAACAGACTCTTCAGTCCAACCAGTCCGTGCCGATCATGATCTCAAACTAAACTAGTCCCATATGCCTGCATTTGGCCCATGTCTCTCCAAACATTTCTTATTTATGTACTTATCTAAATGTCTTTTAAACATTGTAACTGTACCCACATCCACCATTCTTCTGGAAGTTCATTTCACACACAAACCACTCTCTGTGTAAAAAAAAAAAAGTTGCCCCGCATGTCTTTTTTAAATCTTTCTCCTCTCAACTTAAAAATATGTCCCCTAGTTTTGAAATCCCTCACACTAGGGAAAAGATACCTGCTATTCACCTTATTTATACTCCTCATTATTTTATAAACCTCTGTAAGGTCACCTCTCAACCGCCTATGTTCCAGTGAAAAAAGGCCCCAGCTTATCCAGTCTGTCCGTATTACTCAAACCCTCCATTCCCAGCAACATCCTGATAAATCTCTTCTGAACCCTCTCCAGTTATTAACAAAGTGCTACCTACAACTTATGGAACATTCTTAGTTCTGGTATATTGAACTGTTGGTTAGTGGAGGATATGTTTATATGATATCGTAAGTTATTTTATGCACTGTGGTCTGATGGGGAATAATTGTTCATGATTCATTGTACTTTGCTTGTTTATTAGGATCAGCTTTGTTTGCGAGATCCCACATTGACAGAAGAGCTGATGGTAATTTTAAATGAACTAACACAACTCAGCAAAATGGAGAACTCTAAGGTGGCACTACGATCCAGGCAGGTGAGATTCTGCATAACTGGAAAACAGATAATGTGGTTTAGATAGTATACATGGAAAGAAAATTAAATTTATTATAGTGCAGGAGTCAGCATTCAAATTTTAGAAAACCAAGAAAGTAGAAGGGGGACATTTGTTTTCAGTTTACAAAAAAACTGCTTGTGAGAAACCATTGGAAATAATTTGTGGTGTTAGTCAGATAATTAATAATCTGCAGGAATTTAATGTGTAATATGTAACAGCTGACACAAATAATTTAATTGGACATATAGTGGAAAATGGGAGTTAAGCAAGGCCAGCTGGTACATATCAGTGTGTGGATACCATGGTTGCACCCGTGTACTTCCCCATTTTACTGATTTAAGCTACATTTACAGAGAGGGTTATTCATAGCCACACAATTGCCCATAGAAGTGGGGAGAGTCTGTCTGAGTTACTTTTTGGAACATTGTACTTTGTATGATTAGTTCATCATCACATAATTGGAGGACAGTAGAGAGGTCAATTGCAGAAAGTGCATGATGTGGGGAAGCTAGAAGGTTTGAAGAGAAAAAGAGACATCTTTTAAATATGATTAAATAAATTAAGATGAAATAGTAGAATGATTTCACCTTTATAAGTGGGCAAATCTGTGTAAGAGTGTCCATATTTATATTTATACCTCAGTTTGTCCATTTTAATTTCTATTGCCAAAATAGACACACAATTGCCTCCCTGGTTTTTCTCAGTGTTATCAGTGATAAATAAAAGAATTACGTTAAAAACCAGCTGTGATTTGTAACCTGGATTTCCAGTACTTGCCCACCTTTTCCTGCTTGCTATTTCTTGGATCTGAGAAGAACAGATATCAAGCTTCAATGCATTTGTACACTGCTGAGGTCAATTTTTTGGAGGCTATGAATGTTGTTGCGGCAAAATATTTAGTCTGTTCTAATTTGGTTTGTTCTAATGACTCTGTTTATTGGCAGCAATGAGGTTTTAGGGAAACATTTGTTCAGTGTAATTTTTCTCTAGTCATGAATAAAAGAATACAGCAGTTCCTGTTTGAGCTCCACTAGCCTTCTTCTCTTGATGGCAGTGATTTAAGTGGTGGTAAATGAAATAACTCCACAAAGGCCGGTGTCCCGTCACCAAGTCGCCCTTTATTTATACGTGGAAAATCCTTGACACTGATCTTCCTCCCTCAGACCCAACTCTGTGTGTCAGGATGTCTGACACTCCTGTTTTTATCTGTCAGCCAGGGCTTCCTGATGATCTTGTTACAATTGCTATAGTAAAGTTCCACATGTGTCCTATGCAAACAACCATTTTGCTCACATTGTCCCAGATGGCTGGCAGTTTATTCAATCTTGTGGACCATCACATTTGAACCTGAATCACTTCTTACCTGACTGACTTCTGACGTGGCAGAGACTAGGGGATAACCCTCACTGCTATCACCATACCATTTTGTACCTCCATCCCGGACTGATTTGTTCTTGGATGACTTCTAGTTTCCCAGTCATTGTGAATGAATTGTGGTATCTTACTCTGACTTTGGCTGAAACCAGCTATTTTGCTGCTTTCTGCTAAAATTGTTCTTTAATGTTTTTAGGTTTTGATTGCATCACACCTGCCCTCCTATGAACTACGGCATAATCAAGTGGAGTCCCTCTTCCTGTCTGCTATTGATATGTACGGCCACCAGTTCTGTCCTGACAATCTAAAAGTGAGTTTGAGACTATAGCATTGGATTTCTATTGTGATTCGATTAATGAGCAGCTTTTGTTACATAATTTGTTTTCTCAAGTCACTGAAATAAACAAATTGTCTGCACTAAGGCAATTAAAGGATATAGGGATAGAACAAGAAAGTGAAGTTTAAGTAAGAGTTAAACAATGATCCTACTGAGTGACATAGTAGGCCTGAGGAGCTATATTGCCTATTCCTATTTCATATGTTCTTAGGTTCATTAGCATGGCAACAACTGAGCAGTCTCCCAAAGGATGAAAGTTATTCTGAGGCTGTTCTTTAAATGACACTTAATAGAAGGCTGGAAGCACTTGCCCTCGCATCCATTTCCTTGGTCAGGAACAATGTTTGGGCTAAATTATCTGGTCACAATCTCATTGCCATTTATGGAATCTTGCTGAAGTCAAATTGACAGCCATCTTTCCTACATTACAACAAGGACTACATTTCAAAAAATACTTCATAGGCTGTAAAATGCCTCGGGATGTCCAGTGGTCATGAAAGTACCATATAAATGGCAGGGTTTTTGTTTAAGAGCTAATGAAATGCCTTTGAATTGTAGCTATTGTTGTAATCTAGGAAATGGGGCAACTAATTTGTGCTAAAGCTGTCACTGTGGAATAAACTTTAAAGTACAGGCAATCCATGCATTGCAAGCGGGTTCCATTTTTGAGTCTGTTTGCAAGTTGATTTGTACCCAAGTTGGAACAATGTGCAGGGCAATATAACGGAGCAGTTCCTAAATACAGGGTATGAGATCGCATACTTAAGTCTGATGTTTATAAATCAGGGATGCCCTGGAAAGGAGTGGATCACAAAAACTGGCATAATTTAAGGTGCTACAATTAAGAGATGTTATGATCTCTCTGGATACATGACCTATGATGGTTGATTGACCTTTTGCATTCGTTATAATTGTTATACCAATAGGGGTTGGCAGAACCAGCAATTGGCTGAAGTTGGTGATTTTTGTCTGTGCTGGGTGTTGTTGCATTTTGTGACATCTATAATTTATTGCCCATGAAATAGTTTTTCCAATATGATTGAGGCATATATGATGTTCCCATGGCTACTTATGCCATTAAAGCATATGACAATTGTCTGGAGCGTAAAGAGTACAATTTATTTTTAAAATTCTGAAATTTGAAGCATTGTGTTTTTGTTTTGTTGGGCCAAGAAGGGATTAATGGACCAAAGACTCATTCTATTGTTGTTTGGCTTTAGAAACTGATCCTCTCAGAGACCTCCATTTTTGATGTTCTGCCCAGCTTCTTCTATCATGTCAATCAGGTTGTACGGATGGCAGCTCTTGAGGTAAGACCATAATTTACTGAAAATATTTTATGGTTCAGTTGTGTTACTGAATTAATTATAGGTTTTATAATTAGATCCCATCTTTACTTAAACAAAAAGGTTTCATTTTTGTTTACAATTTTCTCCACTTGTGCCCACTGACTATTATTGTTATGTAATACCAAATGTGGTCCTTTGAAATCTCACCCAGATAATTACACAGATTCTGAGCAAAAGATATCAATTTCAAAATCCTTATGTGATTCCCTGCTTTGCAGGTGAATAACATTTTCTAATCCATCATTCCTTAATCAATGATGCAAATTCATAACTATGCATTTATGATGATAATTGCTACATATCACACACTTAAACCGTTATACCAAGAATATTAAAACAATGAATACAATTGCTTATACCATAACAAAGAATGTGGAAATCGTTAAGTACTATGAGTTGTTCCTAAATTGTGGGCTAATTTCCACCACTTGCACTCATTCAACTGCCTCATTATCCTGAAGCATGTTTAGCTATTCTTGACTATACGTTAGTGTCTAAACAGCGAGTGTTAGGCTATTTAGCCATGAAGGTATTACATCTGTGTCCAATCCTGTCTTTATTGTTGGTCTAGATCTTGGATGTTACTGTTCCAAACAGGATGCATTAATTCGTTATTCTCCCAAGTGAGGAGGGATGAGCTGAACCCCTCCCCTCTGTTTATTCACCTGCCTCTCTGTTGGTTTGTGAGAAAACAAAGAGTGAGTTTATTAATTACTAAACATGAGAAGAATTAGTAACGCAACACAGACACTGAAATTAGCAGTAGAGCTCAGTGCTAAAAGATAAAATTTGAAAAATAGATATGTGGATCAGTCTTTGAATTGTTTGTGAAGAACAGATATTTGAACGTTGCAAAAGTTGCAGTCGAGGTTACTGGTAGCGTTTGTGTTGGTAATTGAACAATCAATATCAAGGTTCTTAGTTTTGTAGGTTGGTTGAAATTCTGTAGTTCTGGTTCCTTTTCAACCAGAGCATTGATGGTGAGAAATAGTCCTTTTGTTATCCTCTTTCCTTTTGCCTGGTTTGTTGGCTATTTGCCTTCTAATCTCCATGATAGAGTCCTTTTCCTACAACTCAGGGGTGACTAGAGGATAGTTTTTTGACTGCAACCCTACCAGCATGCAAAAACTCAAACTCAGGCTTACACAAGGACCTCTTAGTCAACCAGCACACACAAGTTCCACTAGTACCCCCCTCCAGTAGAGTTCAAACTAGCTTTTTCAATTCTTGTCCTTGTGTATTGTTCAAAGAGAAAAATACAAGATGTGTCTGTAGTTTGGTATGTAATCTGTAGGGAATAGTATGCTGTTGAGCAGAACTTAATCAACCCCTCCTTGTCTTCGTAGCCACAAGAAATATTCCCTTTTTCTCCTTGAAAGGTTATTGTTTGAAATTAGCTTCACATCTTTAGGTGTGCCATTCCATGGATCTCTTCCTGTCCAGAAAGCAACTTATTTTCAGCAGTAGCTCTTATTAGCTGTATCAGTCCTCTTTTCAAAAAAAAAGGCAGATATTGAAATTACAAGATAAAAATGTCCAAAGTACTTTGAGGTTCTGACTAATGGTCTATTACATCATCCAGACATTAGATCGCGCTTAAAAAGGATAGCCTTTTTTTTCAACATTTTCCCTTTATTCACTTTCACCTTCCTTAGTCTATGGTTATTAACACCAACTGAAGCACCACCACTGTCATTCTGGCTGCAAACAAATAACTCGAACTTTCCAGATATGGGATTGATTTGTACATTGATCCATTAGGAAAGCTCTGATAACTCTGTTTATGAAGAGAACTCAGGTGTGTGAAAACCTCAACAGTATCTCAATGATCAAAAAATAGAGAACAAAAACAATGTTAGTGTTCCTTTCACCCCTCTGATGAGCTGATGGCTTCTACCGAATTGGCAGTTGCTGATGTCTTTACACTCTTGTTTCATTACTATTTCTTCGTGAGATTTTTGGTTTAATGCCGAATATTCAGTTTACCAGATGATATTCCTTTTTTTATGTGAAAGGTATATGTGCGGAGAGCATACATTGCCTATGAACTCAACAGCGTACAACACCATCAACTGCGTAATGACATTTGTGTGGTGGATTTCCAGTTCTTACTTCCTTCATCTCACCCAAACAGGTACTGCAGGATTTAGGCCAAAATCTGCCAAATAATAATGTGCATGTGCATATATTGCTTGTTCTTTCCAAATGTTGCTTGTTGTAGAACTGTTAAGGTTCAAAAAATGTTTCCCCTCCATTGGCTGTGCTCAATTTTGTTATTGGCGAATGTGTACCGTATTGACATATATACGGGGGCAGAGTATTCGGTGGAGAATAGCCCCTGAAAATGGACATGGGATTGTAATGTGCAGTTAACTGCCCCCATTCAACGTAACATAGGCAGTTTGGCAACATGCCCATTGCCACCTCATTTTAACCAATACTAGCCAAGCTGTTTATTGCCTGTGTGCATCAGTGCGACCACAAAGTCATAATTTAATTACATCATTTAATGCTAACCTGCACTTTCTCACAAAGGGGTGGTGTATTGTGCCTAGAGCAGGTGCTGGCAGTCAGGCAGGAAGTGAATCTGACGTCAAAAACCGTGGATAATGGCACAATATGAGAGAGAGAAAAATTTCAAGGTTTTCAGACAGTGCACTTGGAGAACTTGATGGAGAAGGTGGAAAATACAAATGACACCCTGGATCCACAGGGAATCAGGACGCTTTCCAGATTCCTGATTCATTTCAAAAGCAGTGGGGACTGATAGTCATGGAAGTCAATTCTAAGTGTCAAGTGCCAATGCTGCAAGAAATTCAATGACCTTACATGAACAGCCAAGGGCAGTGAATACATCTTCATATGCCTATTTATGCCAATGCACCATCAGCTTTGACATTGCTCAATTCACCACACCCTCATCATGGAGTTCAGAAGAATGAATGGATATCTGATTTAAGGTATATAAAATGCTAAAGGGAATCGATAAGGTGGACATGAATAATTGATCCCCCTTGTGGGACAATCTTGAACAACAAGTCGTAGATGTACAGTGACAGGAGGTAGTTCCAAACTGAGATGAGGAGAAACTACATCTCTCGGAGGATTGTGAGTCTGTGGAACTCGCTGCCCGAGAGTGTTGTGAAGGCACAACCAATCGACAGAATCAGGAAAGAAATAGATATGTTTCTGATGAAAAGCGGGATAAAGGACTATGGGGAGCGACAGCAAAGTGGAGTAGACAACAGGATAAAATCAGCCATGGTCATGTTAAATGGCGGAGCAAGTTCGAATTGCTTACTCCCGCTCCTAATTCCTATGTTCCTATATTCGTATCAGCACTTCACCTAACATTCATATGCTTCATCTCAACTTCTCACACCCACAGTTGTCAATGGTGTCGTGAATCACTGGAAAGGTGTGTGATCATTCTGCCAGATTCCATTTGACAACGGATAATAAAGTTTAGTTGGTTCTTGCTGAAATAGCACGCCTGAGTGATGTCCTTTATTCAGCAATGGACAGTTGATAGCAAACTTAAAGATGTTGAATTCTCTTTAGTTCCAGCCTGGATGAAACCAGAACCAGAACATTTCATTGTCACCTTTGCAGCCCCTGACGATACATTCACTGCCTTTTCTGAGCTTGCAGATTTCAGTGAGAATGTCCTTACTAAAGCGCAGGCATCTCATCTGAGGTTCCACCATAACTTATCATGGTGTTACCTCACATCTACATAGCTGACCTTTGCACCTGGAGATGTTGGATAACAGCTGATCTTTTTGATTGTTATTGATACTAAAGAATGCAGGGAGGAATTAAGTGCCATCAGATCCCAAGAGAAGTAGTATTAGACAAACCAATGGGGCTAAAGGCAGGTAAGTCCCTGGTACAGATGTCTTGCATTCTAGCATCCTAAAACAAGTAGCTACAAAGAAAGTGGATGAATTCGTTGTAGTTTTTCCAAAATCCTTGGATTCTGAAGTACCACCAGAGGATTGGAAATATGCCACCCTATTGAAAAAGGGAGGTGAAAAGCAGGTATCTGTGCAGTGATTAGGCTAACATCTATCGTTGGAAAAGTGTTGGAATCAATTGTTAAAGAAGTAATAGCAGTGCATCAGGAAAATCATAATCTGATCAAGCAGAATCAGCACAGCTTACTGAAAGGGAAATCGTACATGAGTAATTTACCAAAGTTTTTTGAGGAAGTTTCGACTTCCTGATCTCAATATGAGGATAGAGGGCAACCAGTAACTGTGCTATATTTGGGCAGAAGGCATTTGACAAGCTACCTCACAGAAGGTTGAAGCATAAGATATGAGCCCACGGTGTTGGAAGTAGTTTATTGGCATGGATAGAGAATTAGCTAATGGGCAGGAAACAGCAATTATAAGGGGATAAGGGGCTCTTTTTCAGATTGGCAACCTGTAACCAGTGGGGTTCCATGGGCACCACTGCTGGGACCACAACTGTTTACAATATATATTAATGGTTTGGAGGAAATGACAAGTTTGTGGAGGACACAAAGGTTGACTGGATGTTTGACAGTGAAGAGGAAGGCCTTAGGAAGGTAAAGGGTGGCTTGGTCAGATGGGCAGATCAGTAGCAGATGGAATTTAACCCTGAATCATGAGGTGATGTACTTTGGAAGAAGGAATGAGACAAGGGATTGTTGAATGAATGGTAGCATACTACAAAGCTCAGAAGAACAAAGGGATCTTGAAGTGCTTGTTCACATTGCTGAAGATGCAGGACAAGTTAATAGAGTAATTAAGAAGACATACAGATGCTTGCCTTTATCAGGTGTGGCATAGGTTATAAGAACAGGGAAGTCATGTTGGAGCAGTACAGAACTTTGGTTAGGCCACAGCTGGAGTACTGTGTGCAATTCTAGTCATGGTACTATGGAAAGGATGTGATTGCACTGGAGGGTATCAGAGGAGATTTACCAGCATGTTTTTTGAGATGGAGCAGTTTAACAATGAAGGGAAGCTGGATAAGATCAGGTTGTTTTCTTAGAGCAGAGAAGGCTGAGAGAGGGCCTGATAGCAGTCCTACAGCATAGATACAGGCCCTTTGGCCCACCATGTGTATGCTGACCAACACACAGCAAGCTACACTAATCCCATTTAATAGAGTCATTATAGGTGTCTGTGATTGAGGGCATTGGCAAGGTGGATAGAAAGCAGCTGTTCCCCTTATTTGAAAGATCAATAAAATGGGAGCATAATTTTAAGGTAAAAGGCAAGTGGTTTAACAAGGACTTTAGAAAAACATCTTTTACCCAGAGAATCATGGGAATCTGGAATGCACTGCCTGGGAGGGTAATCGAGTCAGGAAACTTCACAACCTTTTAAAAAATATTTGGACGAGCTCTTGAAATGTTATAATGTGCAAGGCTAGGGACCAAAGGGTAGAAAATGGGATGAGTGTAAATTTGGAGTAGTTTTTATCGGTACAGATTTGATGGGCTGAAGGGCCTCTTCTGAACTGTATGATTCTTTACAGAAGGAAGCGAATATACTATAGCCAAATTTCTGGATTACACAAGAATGGAGGAAAGGCAAGTGCAAGAGGGATACAAACAGTTTACAGAAAGATATTGTTCTTATTTCTTATTGTTCATGGGATGTGGGCATCATAGGTTAGGTAAATGGGCAAAAAGTTGGCGAATAGAATATAATATGGGAAAATGTGAGGTTATTTATTTCGGAAACGAGAGCAAAAGAATAAAATATTATTTAAATGGAGAAAAACCGCAATACAAAAGGATTTGGGTCTACTTGTGCATGACACACAGAAAGCTAGCACACAGATGCAGCAGGTAATCAGGAAGACTTATGGAATGTTGGCCCTTATTTTAAAGGGGTTGGAGTATATGAGTAGGGAAGTCGTATTGCACTTGTACAAGGTGCTGGTGAGAGCACATTTGGAATACTGTGAGCACTTTTGGTCCTCGTATTTAAGGAAAGATATTATTTCTTTGGAGGCAGTTCAGAGAATGTTCACCAGGAGGATCCCCGGTTTTGAAGGACAGTCTTATGAGCAAAGGCTAAACAGGTTGGGTCTCTACTCACTGAAATTTAAAAGAATGAACGGTGATCTATTGGAACATATAGGATTCTTAAGGGGCTTGGCAGGGTAAATGCTGAGAGGATGTTTCCTGTCATGGGAGAGCCTAGGATCAGAGGGCACAGTCTCAGAATAAAGGGACATCAATTTAAGACTGAATAAGGAGGAATTTCTTCTCTCACAGGCTTGTGAGCCTTTGAAACTCCTTGCCACAGAGAGCTGTGGGAGTAGTGTCCTTGTGGATACTTCGGGCTGAGATAGAGAGATTCTTGATCAGTGGAGGCATCATGGTTACGGACAAAGGGCAGGAAAGTAGACATGAGGGATGTCGAATCAGCCATGATCCTATTGAATGGTTTAGGAGGCTTGAGGGCTAAACAACCTACTTCTGTTCCTATCTCTTCTGGCCTTATGGTATATGGAATGTGGATGTCATTAGACTGTGCCAGTATCATTTATTATCTATGTCTAATTACTTTTCAGAATCTGGTGATGAGCTACCTACTTGAACTGTAGTTTATGTTGTTGTGTAGGTATACCTGCAGCACAGTTTTGAAGAGGGCTCCAGGATTTTAATCGAGTGACAGTGAAGGGACGGCAATACAGTTCCAAGACAGGATAGTGTGTGGTTTGGAAAGAATTTGCAAGCGGTAGTGATATTGCCATGCTTGGGTTACCGTGGTCTTTCTAGATCATATAGACAAGACCCGGGAGAAGGTGCTGCTGTTCATGCTAAACACCAGGGCCTGTGCCTTCAGTGCGTGCCCAGGCTTTAGTAGCAGTCGCCCTCTGTGACCAATCAGAGCAAAATTATCCCCATATTTTACAAAAGATAGAGTCTGTGTGGAGCTGCTCCTCCAATCACAGGATTTAGATGAGATGTTTCTCCTAGCCAAGGATTACAATCTCAGGATAACGGGTAGACCATTTAAGAATGATATGAGGAGGAATTTCTTCCCTTAGACCATGGTGAAACTTCAGAATCCTCTATTCCAAGATGGCTGTGGAAACTCGATCATTGAGCATTTTTTGAAACAAGCAATAGAGTTTTGAATACAAATAACAATCAGGGCATATGGAGATAGTGTGGGAAAGTGGCATTGGGCTGGATGATCAGCTATGATCTAATTGAATGATGGAACAGCTTGATGGGCTGAATGGACTATACCTGTTCCTTTGCAACCATTGTTTCTAATTCTAGGCACTAGAAGGATGTGAAGTATTTATACAGGTTCGTAAGAGATTTACAAGAATAGCTCCAGGGATGCAGAGAAGCTGAAGTTGCACTCCTAAGTGCAAGAAACCTGAGAGATTTGAAGGAGCTGTATAAAATTATGAAGGGGTTATATAGAATATATAGAGTTTTTCCAATGGCTGAAGGACCAATAACCAGAAGACCCTGATTTAACTCTAATTAAATTGATTGGCAAAAGAGCTAGAGGTGACGCCAGAAATAACTATTACTCTAACAGTGATTAGAATTTGGAATAAGGCCCTTCCCTGATGTTGAGGTGGGTACAGACTCAAATTAGTGTTCAAAGGAAATTGGATAAACACTTGGAGTAAAAAAAAAAAAGGTGAAAGAACAAGTCAGGGGTTGAGAGTGAGGTCCACCAATAGGACTGACTAGATTTTGCTTCAAAAAAACTGGCACAGTTTCGAAGGGTTGTTTGGCCTCCATCTGTGCAATGCCATTCTATTCTATTAGACAAAAGCACAAAAGGTGCTCAGCAGAAGCTGTGGTGAGGCTAAGTGGCCCGGAAACAGGAAAAATACAAAGGCCCATGATTTCTCTTCCTGACCTTGGATAAGGGTTGTGGGTTTAGAAGGGGCTGGTGAAGAACCCTTAGTGAGTTGTTGCTGTGCATCTTGTAGATGGCATATACTGTTGCAACTGTGCATTGCTGGTAGATGGAGGGAATGTTGAAGGTGGTGCATGAGATGCCAATCAGTGGGCTGCTTTGTCCCAGATGGTGTTGAGCTTCTTGATCGTGGTTGGAGCTGCTCTCAGCTAAGCAAGTAGAGAGTATTTCATCATTTACCTGACCTGCGCTTTATAGATGGTGGACAGGATTTGAAGAATCAGGAGCTGAGTTACTCGCTGCAGAATGTCCAGCCTCTAACCTACTGTTGTAAGCAGTATAATTTATATGGCCAGTCCAGTTCTGTTTCTGTTCAATGGTCATCCTGAGTATCTTGATAGTAGGGGATTCATTGGTGATAATGCCATTGAATGTGAAGGGAAGATAGTTAGAATTCCTCTTCCTGAGAAATCATATTTGGTATATGTGTAGAATGAATGTTATTGCCATTTGTCAACCAGCCTGAATCTAGGTCTTGCTGGATATGGATCGTGACTGCTTCAGTATTTGAGGAATCGTGAATGGTGCTGAAAATTGTGCAACCATCTGTGAGTGTTCCCACTGCTGACCTTTTCATGGAGGGAAGGTGATTAATAAGATGAAGATGGTTAGGCAACATCAGCCCTGAGGAACACCTGCACAGATGTCCTGAAGCTGAGATAATTGCAACTAACAACTGCAACCATCTTCCTTTTGCTAGGATAACACCAGCAAATGGAGAGTTTGTCCACTGATTCCCATTGACTTCAGTTTTGCCAGAGCTCCTCAATGTCAAAATGAGTCAAATGTTGCCTTTATGTCATGAGCAGTCACTTTCATTTTGCCTCTGGAGTTCAGCACTTTCATCCATTTTTAAACCAAGGCTGTAACAAGGTCAGCGCTAAATGACCCTGGCGGAACCCAAACGGAACGTCGGCAAGTCAGTTATTGTCAATGATCCCACTAATCCAAAGCAGATAAGATTTGAAGCTATTAACACAGCCCATATACCCCCAGTACAGCGCTGTCTCACATCAACTAACCTCACATGAACTAATGATTGATCATTTAGGCCTTTGTGGTGTCGTTCAATGCTGCACCATGTATGGTGACCTCCCAGATATCGGGGTGTTACAAATATGTTTTTTTTAGAAAAACATTCAACTTTTTGTTGGTTTATGCACTGAATGCATGTTTATTTACCAAATAGTGTGTTTGTTGTGTATTATCTTGGCTGAAGTGATTGTAACTACATTTACCATGTAGCTTAACTTTTTGTATGTTAAATGTTCAATTTCAGAGGAAGCTATCCTAGCCTTTACAGGTAGAGGAAAGTTCATCTATTTATTTCATGTATCATAAGAAAAGAATGCTGTCTTGCAAATGGTGAATACCTAACCGAATTGGTGAAAAATTAAGGGAATGTAGAATCAAAGACCAGGATTGGCTGTGGCCATTGTTTAGCTATTACTAACTTGAAGAAGTTGAATTGGATGGATTCAAAAATACTACACTTGGGTGAAAAGGAATGTGATTGGATTACTTTCTTTTAATAAATATGAAAGTAAACTAATAAACTAATTGAGCTATGTTTGTGTTAATACTTAAAAGAAATTGGTGCATAATTTGCAAGTTTTGTGTCAAGTCTTTCAGACTAATGCTGTTTGTTGGATAGTAAAGAGGGAAATTTACTTGACGTCCTATTCATTTTTCACCCTGTACAGAAATTTGTTCTATCGCCATTACCTCTTATTAATCCATCAGTAATTGGATTATTGTCAGTGTGAAAAGTCTTTTACTTTTTTATGTTTTCTAACACAAACCTGTTCAAATCAAGCCCTCTCTACCTCTCGAAAGCTTGCAAGTTTTGATCTGCAAACTCTTATACAATGTGTGCAAAAATTTCAAACGTGCATGTCTCTCACAACTTTCCTGAAATAGCTCTTTTGCAACAATTTTAAACTGGTTTTGAAATCGTTGCAGCAGGGTAATATTTCATGATTCATCAGTATTAATTATTTCATTGTTTCTGAGAACATATAGCATCACCAGCATTGAAAAGAGTAAAGTAATTCCAAAAGCATTGGTTAGGTGAGAGAAGCTTTCATCTTTAGAAGTCTATAGGAGATGAGAAATTCTGCATCTTGGCAAAGTTAAAGTTGGAAACTGCTGTGTAGTTAAGGTTTGATTTTACCAACAATGAAAGAGAGAGAATAGTCTGGTGGTGTAAGGTTGGGGTTCCCTTCTCTTTTGCCTCCTTTCAGATGTTCCTTAAAACAAATCTCTTTTTCATCCATATTTGGCCAATAGCCCCTCTGTGGCTTGCTGCTTTTTCTCATAACTCTCCTGTGAAATTTTGTTTGCCATTTGTGATGTAAATACAAATTGTTTCTCTTGATAAATTTTTAAAACCACCTCAACAAGCAAGCAAAATACCCACTAGATTATGAAATTGTGATACTTCATGATTCTTCATTTTGTTTGCTATATTTCCACTACAGACTTGAAGAGTGGAAAATAATATGTATTAAAGGATGTGAAGTTTCTAAAATGAAATAAATTAAAATTCTCCAAGTAATGTGCTTTTAGTATTTTGTGGTTGAGGCTTAAAAGGGAAGCACTGGTACTATAATCATATGTTAGGTTTGGAGTCCGAGACATTGTTTTTTTTTTTGCATCGTTATGTTCCATTACCAGCAACATCTGAGGTATCTTTCCTTTTCAGAGCATTCTGTGCTCATGTTTTTCTCACTGGGTTGATGTTTCCACTCAAAGTGTCAACAGTGAAAGACGTTTGTTTGTCTGGAATTATGACCTTTTGCAAGTTGGTTCTGCGTTAACCTGATTCCAATGCAGCACACTGAAGCTAGCATAAACAAGGGTTAAAGTTTCTCTGTTTGCATACAGTTTTGTCGATCTGATTTAGTTCTTTTGTTAAATCTGTAGGATGTGTGTTCCAACCAGCACAGTCCACTACGAGCTGAATCGACAAAGCAATGACCTCTTCATAACTAGCATGCCATCTTCTATATGTCAGCGAATGGGACTCATGGTTGCATTTGAAGCATTTGAAGATTTAGTTAAGTGAGTATTATCTCAATTAAGAGTGTACAAGAATTATCCATGAATGTTTTAGTTTTTTAATGATATTCTTTTGCAGGATGTGGCCATTGCTGGCAAGGCCAGAATTTGTTGCCCCCAGGTAATTGCCTTTGAGTAGGTACTGATAAGCAGCCTTCCTAAACCACTGCAGCCCATATGGTATAATAGTCCTACAGCACTGTTAGGAAGGGAATTATGACCCAGCAACGTTGATAGTACTTTGATATTGCTCCCAAGTCAGGATGGTGAGTGATTTGGAGGGTAAATCGTAGGTGGTAATGCTGTCCTTGTCGTTCCAGTTGGTTGGAAGTTGCTGTAGAAGAAACCCTGCTGTGTTTCTGAAATGCATCTTTTAGCTTGTACACTCACTTGCCACTGTATGTTAGTGTTGAAGGGAGACCGTTGAAGGCTTTAGATGGGGTGTCAATCAAGAGGACTTCTTTGTCATGGATGGTGTCAAACTACATGAGTGCTCGTAGAGTTAAACTCCTTCAGTCATTGGGGGAGTATTCTACCACACTTCTTACTCATGACTTGTAGATGGTAAACAGGTTTTGAGAGTCTGGAGGTGACTTATTCTTCATAGACTTTATAGCATGTAGCCTGACTTGTAGCTGTAGAATTTATACAGGTGGCCAATTTCATCTTCTGATCAATGGTAACCACCATGATGTTGATAGTAGGGAAGATTCAATGATGGGGGTGCCAATAAATTCGGGGAAAGAGAGTTAGATTCTCTCTTAGAACATAGAACATAGAACAGTACAGCACAGTACAGGCCCTTCGGCCCACGATGTTGTGCCAACCTATTATCCTACTCTTAAGATCAAACAACCATGCATACCCTACGTTTTACTATCATCCACGTGTCCATCCAAGAGTTCCTTAAATGTCCCTAATGTATCTGACTCTACTCCCACCGCTGGCAGCGCACTCTCTGTGTAAAGAACCTATCTCTGACATCTCCCCTATACCTTCCTCCAATCACCTTAAAATTATGCCCCCTTGTAATAGTCATTTCCACCCTGGGAAAAAGTCTCTGGCTATCCACTCTATCTATGCCTCTCATCATCTTGTACACCTTTATCAAGTCACTTCTCATCCTTCTTCGCTCTAATGAGAAAAGCCCTAGCTCCCTCAACCTTTCCTCACAAGACCTGCCTTCCAGTCCAGGCAGCATCCTGGTAAACCTCCTCTCTAAAGCTTCTACATCCTTCCCATAATGAGGCGACCAGAACTGAACACACTATTCCAAGTGTGGTCTAACCAGGATTTTATAGAGCTGCAGCAAGATCCCTCTGTTCCTCCACACTGCCAAAAATCCTGCCATTAACCGTGTATTCTGCATTCAATTTCGACCTTCCAAAGTGAATCACTTCGCACTTTTCCAGGTTGAATTCCATCTGCCACTTCTTTGCCCAGCTCTGCATCCTGTCAATGTCCTGTTGCAACCTACAACAGCCCTCCACACAACTCTACCAACCTTCATGTCATCGGCAAACTTACTAACCCATCCTTCCACCTCCTCATCTAAGTCATTTATAAAGATCACAAAGAGCAGAGATCCCAGAACAGATCCCTGCGGAACACCACTGGTCACCGTGCTCCAGGCTGAATACTTTCCATCTACTACCACCCTCTGTCTTCTATTGGACAGCCAATTCTGTATCCAGACAGCCAAATTTCCCTGAATCCCTGCCTCCTTACTTTCTGAATGATCAAATGCCTTGCTAAAATCCATATACACCACATCCACTGCTCTACCTTCATCAATGTGTTTTGTCACATCCTCAAAGAATTCAATAAGGCTTGTGAGGCATGACCTGCCCCTCACAAAGCCATGCTGACTATTTCTAATCAAACTGTGCTTTTCCAAATAATCATAAACACTATCTCTCAGAATCTTTCTTGTTTTAGCACAGTTGATACTTCTGCAGCAGTAGACTCCCTTCCCACGTATCTGTAATCGCTGTAGTCTCATGCCGTGGTCTACTTCCTTCATCATGTTCATGGTCATCCTTTGTGGTACTATCTGCGGTTCACAGGTTTGTTAATGGCACAAAACTTTAACTCTGTACCTTTACCTTTAAATTTGGTGTTATCTATGTGTAACACGTTGCTTGCCTCACATCTTTGTGATGGAATTTTCAATCCCTGAACATCAAGGGGCTCAATGGTATCATTCTGCCGCAGTCTCTGGGCTCTTACTTTCACCTAGTCACAGAGACCAAACCAGATTATATACAACTTGCGTGATGCTTGCATTTCCAATGTTGAGGTGAGTTTCAAATTTCACCATGCTGTCTATCACTAAGATTTGTGGGTTGCAGCTTCACAAGATTATCTGATTCTACTTTCTGTTCGTTGCTGCAGAAACTAGAATTCTTTCTTTATCTCTAGATTTGATGTCTTAAATACCTTTTTACTGAGCTCCTCTCTCCATATCACCCAAAGCTCCAGCACTTGAGAACTATCCCCATGTTGTATCTTGCTCATTCATCACCCTTATCCACACTGGCTCCCTTCATTCAAGTATCCTCGACACGTCCTACCTTTGTAACTGCCTTCACATTCTATTAAGTACCCTTCCCGTTTGCAACTTTGGGTTCCTTTCAATCCTCTTTCCCTCCCACACAGTTCTTCTTGAAAATAAATGGTCAGATTGCCTGCTATTACTTGCCAAATAGACTCAAATGATAGCTGTTTGATTGAGGTGTAGAGGAATCTTTGAAATATACATCATCATGAACCTATGGTTTCAGAAGAAGAATGCAAAGAAAGCCTTTATTGTAAATGGCTATATATTTTTAATTAATATAATATAGCAAATTTCCTACTAAATTATTAGAAAACCAAATTTGCATTTCTCTGTTGGTCAGTAGCAGTTAAAACATTTCCTGAGTACATTTAAGAAGTAATCAAATATAATTGAAAGCCAGTAGTGGATTTCATTCACTGTTTCCCTTCCGTGTTGTACAAAAATAACTCCTACAATCAATAAATAATACAAGTGAAAACAGGCTAGATTCAGTGTATGTCTCAACTATAGGCCCAAACTGACAATATAAATTATTTACTGTTTTCTATTATTAACCTGGCAATAATTTGAATACTTGTACTTTTAAAGAAACTTTGAAGAAATGATTGCCTGCTTTGCTGACCCATTTCTGGACAGTCCACTATTTTCTGAAACGAGATCCACCTTCTTTGACCAAACAGATATTAAGGTGAGTTATGATCCCCTAGCTTTATTTGATTTGGTTTAATTTGATTTTTATATTGTCACATTAACCTAGATACAATGAAAAGATTTGTTTTGCGTGCAGTACAAGCAGATCATACCACACAAAGTGCATCAAGGTAATAGAACAGAGCGAAGAATTCAATATCAGGGCTGCAGAGAAGGTGCACAAAGAGTGAAATCAGTATTAAATTTAAAATTTGAGAGGTCCTTTCAAAAGTTAACTGACAGTGGGAAAGAAGTTGTTCTTGAATTTCTTCGTACGTGTCTATGAGCTTTTATATCTCCTGTCCAACAGAAGAGGTTGGAAGAGATTATAACTGGGGCAGAAGGGGCCTTTGATGTTGGCTGCCTTCCCGAGGCAGTGAGAGGTATAGATGGAAGGTTGGCTTGCATGATGGACTGATGTGTGTTCACAACTCTCTACAGTTTCTTACAGTTCTAGGCAGAGTAAGTACCATACAAAGCCATGATGCAACCACATAGAATGCTTTCTATGGTGCATCTATAAAATTGGCAACAATCTTTACAGCCATAACAAGGTGTAGAGCTGTATGAACACAGCAGGCCAAACAGCATCAGAGGAGCAGGAAAGCTGACGTTTCAGGTCTAGACCCTTGTCTTTACAGCCATGCCTTATTTCCTTAGCCTCTTGAGGAAGTAGAGCGTTGTTGTGCTTTCTTGACCGTAGTGTCAATATGGGTGGTGATCATCACTCATAGGAACTTGACACTCTCAACCACCTTCACCTCAGTTCCATTGATGTAGACAGGTCCCTGCCCTCCACCTTTCTTCCTGGAGTCAGTGACCAGCTCCTTTATTTTGCTGATGTTGACGGAGAGATTGTTATCTTTACACCATGCACCATGGAATTTCAGGTCTATATGTCAGCTCAAGATGCAATATGTTTGTAAATTTTCAAAGTAACAATTTTAAAGTATGGAAGTCAACTCAGAAATCCAGGAGAAAAAAGTTGAAAACTAAGAGAGAGAGGGTGTATTAAGCTTAGAGGACATCATGTTTAGGGATCTAAAACTTGAACACTTCAGGAGGAAGGAAATACAAGGAACTTTGAGGTCCTGAGGAAAAAAAAATGATTTGGATTAGGATTGTGATGTGAATGCAGAAAAGTGCGAGGCCGTGTAATTAGTATATTGTGCCCAGTCATGGATACCTTCAGGGAGAATGTTCGTATCAAGAGCAATGTGCAGAAGAGATACAATAAAATGAAACTAAGGATTCATTACTTTAGTGGAGACTATGAAAACTGGAATTTTCTTCATTCGGATGAAGAAAATTTAGTAAGGGTTTTAGAAAAAAATAGTATTTTCATTAGTTGATAAATTGATTATTATTGAGCATTAATTTATATAGATAACCAAATAAAAAGAGGATAGAATTTTTCTTTTTGCAGAAAGCTTATTATGTTATATACCTTACCAGAAATAATGGTAGAAGTGGAACTCAGAATGTGTCTTTTAAAAGCATTTTGGTTAACACAAGAACACAAGAACTAGGAGCAGGAGTAGGCCGTCTGGCCCTTCGAGCCTGCTCCGCCATTCAATAAGATCATGGCTGATCCTTTCGTGGACTCAGATCCACTTACCCGCGTTCTCACCGTATCCCTTAATTCCTTTATTGTTCAAAAAAAATCTACCTTTTTTTTAAAAGCGTTTACTGAAGTAGCGTCAACTACTTCACTGGGCAAGGAATTCCATAGATTAACAGCCCTCTGGGTGAAGAAATTCCTTCTCAGTTCAGTCCTAAATCTGCTCCCTCTAATCTTGAGGCTATGCCCTCTTGTCCTAGCTTCACCTGCTAGTGGAAACATCCTCTCTACTTCTATCTTATCTATTCCCTTCATAATTTTATATGTTTCTATAAGATCCCCCTCAAATATAAAATTCAGAAGTATGTAGGAAAAATTAAGTGGAAAAGAGACAATAGGTGTTGTTGAGTACACGGTAA